ATTTTTTTAATTTCGGCTAGTTTTGTACAATCTGGACACGAAATACATACAATCGATTTATCGTAAATTTTATTTTATCGCTATAAAATAATATTTTTATGAACTATAAAATGATTTTATATTTTTTTTTTTCTAGTTTGATTCGTTTATTGCACTTGCGAGTGCAATCTTGGAAAAACATTTGTAGCACACGAAAATATAAAATATAGTTGTATGATTTCTATAAAACTTTCATTCCTTTTTTCATCGTTCTTTTTTTATCATTCTATTCTTAAAAATTATTATTATTATTAAATTATTTAATTCTTAATTATTGTTTTTTTAATTAAGAATAACATAACTTAAATAAAAAGAAATTCCACTTTTTGAAAAGTAAAAAGTCATTAACTTGCATATTTTGATGAAAAATAATGTATTTTGTAAAGAAATTCGATTATCAACAAAAATAAGGATTAACATTAATTAACTGAATTATTTTTTGTAAAATCACACAATCTCTTTCAATTTACTTAAAACCCACCAAAATTATTGCCTAACCTAATTTACTTATATTTCAATTTAAATAATCATATTATCATATCAAAAATTAACAAATAAAATTTTATACGACGACAATTTTCATCAAATAAAACCAAATATTTCAAAATGAGTTTACCAGGGAATGCAACTTCAATGAAGTATCGATTAGTATCTCGAGAATTGTATTGAAATTTTTTTTCGCGAAATAAGACCAAATTTCGAAAATGAACGTAGCACAGTGCAAACTTCGATGAATGAATTATTATCATCCCAACAAGGATTGTATTATTAAAAATTTCAACACGGTTATCTACGAGACCAATATCCCATTTTGATCTAACGATGTAATATATGTACATACACGATGTTTTAGCTGAAACTAAGTACCTCAACGCTCGTTACCACATGCTTCGTGGTAATAGATGACCGCTCGTTTTGTGGTAACCCATTAAACTCTACACGATAATGAAATCACTTCCCGCTGCATCGTATCAAACAGAAGAATACATAAGTGTTCCGTGTAGATAGAAAGATATATTAACAAGAAATATCGAGCAATATAATTTATATTAATGTGTTTTATACGTTTTCTTGATAAATCGATAACGTAGAGACAGATAGAAGAAGATTGATAGGGAGAAGAAATTCTTCTTAAGAATCGAGTAAAGACACATTTGTATAGTTCAATTCTTGACAGTGACCTAATTTAGATACGATATATCGATTCTCAATATGGGTTCCGTCTTCAAGCTACAAATAGCTTTTGCAATTCAATGATGTTAGTTTATCGGGAAACGCGTATTTTATTAACACCATATAATTAATTTGAAAGTTTAATACTCATTTATCTATTTGTAATTTAAACATATCGTATAATATTAAATTATCCTATTTTATTAGGCAATGAAAACTGTTAATGAAACTGTTAACTGTTTGTTAACAGTTTAAATTTTTCATATCAATAATAAATTGTTTATTACTATAATTTCATCGTTATAACTGTTACTAATTTTTGTATTTGATGAAATAAATTTTATAATTAATGAAACAGTACTCAAGTCGAGTTATTCATTTCGTGCTTCAAGTTAATATCTATTAAATATTATTTCGCATTACTTAAATATTAAATTTTTAATGGTTTTTTTCACATTTGTGAAATCAACCATTTCATATCCGATAACTCAACAACCGTAGAACATTAATTAAAAAAATTAACTTATAATTCTAATATAAAAATTATCAATTAAAATATAAATATATTCAGAATCTACTTTTCAATTACATTTAAACGCATAATATTACACGATAATGAATTAATCCAATTCTTAATTTTTTAATTTACGAACATTCCACGAACATTACTGACTATAAAAGGATCAGTTAACGAGATTACATTAAAATTGCATTAAAAATTACCTCATTCCACATTCAAATGTCTTTGCAATTCATTTTAAAAAGATTAAATAAATTAATTGGATTATTATAAGAGGAAATTCGTGGAATAAAAAGGGGGCACGCGTCGATAAAATTTTATGGCAGAAAATTTCACGTTTAGAATTACAGAAGACCGCTTATTCTTGTTCGTGGAATTACACGGAAGAGTGAAAGCGGTCTTGAACGATGAATTTCAAGACGTGTAACGTAAAACCGTGAAAAATTCGTCCGTGCGGGCAGTGGCCACTTTCCACACACCGGAAACCTTTCATTGCCGACAATTCAGACAATTCGTCGGTGACAGGTCGGATTTGTTGCGGACCGTTTATAATTCCTGATGTTAGCGCACAATTTGGTGACGTAATTGAATTTTCATATTATCATTATCATGCGTCACGTGACGCTCGCTTTCCGATTTAGATGACCCAAAAAATTCGCTTTAACCGATTATTCCTATCGGGTTCAAGTGAAACTTCGCTATAACATAACCTAACCTATATTTTGAAATAAATAAACGACACGAGCGTTGTAACTAATGAAATAAAGAAACAGAATTAAATTTAAGAGTTTAGATGATTCAAAAAATTATCCTAATCAATCATTCTTATGGAATTCAAGTGAAACGACGTTATAAAATAATTTAAATCCAACCTAACCTATATCGTGACTTTTGAAAAGACGAGAATTTTATTAAATTTAAATTAATTTGTTTTTTTGAGAATTTGGAAATTTTTTCTGTAATAAGAATATAATTTGTTATTTTAAAACTTCTTTATTTATGTTTATTTATAGTTTATTTATATTATTATGTTAAGAAAAAAATTTGAAAAGAATTATTTAATCGTTTTTATTATTTAATTTAATTTTACAATGGAATTGGCAACATTTTATTATATATAGGTTTGAAATATGAAATGTAATAAGCATCGATGATTAAAATTACATTAGTAGATATGATGAAAATAATTAGATATGTATAATTACGTTTCTGTTTTAATGAAAGTTAATATTGATTCTGTCAAGAACACCTGTACACTTTAAATTGCAAAAACAAATAATCTGAAACCTGTTAATTTGACTAGTTAATTGTAATAATAATGTTAATTATACTATATTTTCTACTTCTCTCTCTATTATAATTCATTATATAAATTTTTTATAAAAAACTATAAAAAAAAAAAAAAAAT